TATATATATATATATATATATATATATATATATATATATATATATATAAGAAATTGGGTCTTGAAAGGCTAATTATTGAAGGTGATTCCAAAACAGTTGTGGACTGGTTAAAGAAGGGGGAAGAACTTTCTTGGCACCTAAGGAATGACCTCATGAGGTTCAAATGGCTCTCTAGGGACTAGGGCTGCAAGTCGGGCTGGGTTAGGTTGGGTTGAGGTCAACCCTAATCCAACTCGACCTTCAACCCGACCTACCCAGCCCTAACCCTAACTAAATTCCTTCAACCCTAACCCAACCCAAAGTCAACTTCGGGCGGGTTGGGCTGGGCCCAACCCAACCTTCTTCCCATCCCTTAAAATCTCGTAGAACTTAATCTTAGATCTTAACTCAACTTTCATTACATATAGTAATCCTATGTTTTATTAATTTGTTTATTGATGTTTTTATTGGTTCTTTAAACACAAAATTCAGAAAAAAAAGTGTTTGAAATAACTATAGTTTGTTATGATGAATTATAATAGACCTTTTATGGGCAGCAAGCTATGGGTGGCAAACAACAGAGAGGGGATAAAGAATAAAATATTCAAAAACATAAAATATTATTATCAAGGTTTTAGTATTTCCAATTGGGTTTAAGTGAAGTGATTATCTTAAATGAAATAAATGATAGTATGTGGTGGTGGCTATACAAGTATACAACTATCATGCATCTAAACAAATCAATGTATGATATATATATATATATATATATATATATGACATATGTTTGTATATGATATGTACTATAGAGTCGGGTTGCTTGAGGGGTCAACCCTAACCCAACCCAAAGTAAAGTTGGGTTTATAAATTTCAACCCTAACCCTAACCTGAGCATCAACCTGATCCAACCCAACTCGACTTTTTTGGGTTGGGTTTGGGCTAACCCGGCCCAAGTTGCAGCCTTACTAGGGACATGTCTATTCAAGTTAACTGGGTTAGAAGATCTGCCAACAGTTTGGCGGATGGTTTAGCTAAACAAGGGGTACAAAGACAGTCTATGTTTTGGGCTCAGTTGTAATATTTGGGGAGTTTTGACACTTGGTGTCTATTTGTATCCTTCACAACTTCTTGTTGTGTTACCTTAATTTGCTTAATGAAATCTTTTTTCTGAGTTATTGATAAAAAAAACATACAAGAGCCAATGAGAAATAAGTTCACTTTTTTAGTGCTGCAAAGAATGCTACTTTACCTTCAAACATTTGATTATTTCTGAACATGCGTTATCAGCTTTTACATCTTCCCTTTCAATCCAAGGTTTACTGACATCTATTTACTAATTTCTATGTTCTAGCATATCCATAACATCACCAATTCCAAATCAAACAAACTGAGGGAAAAAAAATCTAAAATTCTTCTGGTGTTTTGACAGTGTGGCAGTAAGTCCATGTCTTTCAAGCACATGGTACATGCTTGGGGAAGATGAGCAGAGCTGTAGGTTGCTTCTCTCTTTTTGAGCAAATGAACACGAGTGTTTTTCCTGTGTTTTGCTGGTCCCAAACAGAGAAGAATATTCTGTGAGGAGCAAAGGGGATGTGTTATCAACATGTTGACTAGTCAGTTGAGGATTTGATTGACTGCATAACTAACTAGTTGATCAATACTCATGATGCGGTCACCTAGGACAACTAGTCATTGACTAGGTTGACTAGTTATTGGTGATTTTCCAACCTAGTCAACCACAAAGGCATTTTAAAGTTTTTATTTGTTTATTTGTGTATCTAATCGTTTCAAATGATATGAAATATGTTTGCACTTTGTTATATTCATGCTGTTGCTTTAAATATTTGTGATGGAATATGATTAAATGATGGTATATAAAATATAAAAAAAATCATAATCATAAAATAAAAATAGTCAGTGGAGGAGTTCTTTTAAGTTTTCTTCCAGTCAGTGGTACCACAAACATAGGGCACATCTTATGGTCAAGGTTGCACTTTTCTTTTGAAAACAAAGGCTGTGATCCCCTATTCTAGCCTATTCAACTTAACTTTTTCTTTATTTGCAAAATGAAGACTATAAACTAAATGTTCAATATCATTCTTTTCTTGTATAGTTGTAGGTTTATATTAAGTTATTTCTCAGATTGCATCAATATCTTTTTTTTTTTTATAATTCATCAATATCTTAAATTTTAGAACATATCTTTTTCTTGTTGACTAGTCAGCACCTAGGCACTAATTCTAACTATTGATCGCATTGATTAGAGAGACCAAAACAACTAGTCATTGTTTTACCACATTGATAACACTGCAAGGGGTTGTAAAATCCTTGAAACTGTAAATACCTGGGAAGCTGGGGTAGAAACAGTAACTTCAGAAAATGGATAACTCAGATTTACATCATAAAACCGTCTTTATGCCCTTTGCTTTTTCTTTCTTCATGGGTATGCTAAATGCAAAATTTGGACAAAGATAAGTGCAAAATGGTAACTGTAGTAGTGTTTCATGTATTACTTAACTTTTTAAAATTTTCTTTTAAGACCTCAATCATAATTGTAAAAGTATGCTAGCTAAAATAGTAACTATATAATTATTAATTATTGAAGTGTGATTAACCATTTCCTTTATCTCTAGGGCTCATCTACCATGGCTGATACACAATCAGTTGCCACACTCATAGACTGTGCAACCTCAAAGATACAACAGCTTCAACAAGCTTTTGCTGAGCTTGAAAGCCACCATGCTATAACCCTGAACCTGAAATGGAAAGAACTTGAAGAACACTTTCATGGGCTTGAAAGGTCCTTGAAACAACGGTTCAATGAATTGGAGGACCAGGAGAAGAAATATGAGACCAAGGTATCAGAGGCTAGAGAGATTCTGGAGAAGCGTGAAGCTGCAGTTGTGGCCAAGGAACAAGCCTCATTAGAGAAACTCCAAGAAAAGAGAGATGCTGCTCTCTCTGCTATAGGAATTGCTGTTGAGAAGTGCAAGAATGAATTGTCTTCAGAACCTGCTGTTTTTAACAATAAGGAAAGTGGTGGGGCTGAAGAAATTGTGGAAGAGAAACCACCCAATGCCAAAGATAGTTCCATTTCAGAAAATGTGCAAAACCCTTCTATTGATGGAAATATGGAAGTCAAGCCTCCTTCCCAGTTAACTAAACTCTGTGAAGAAATGGATTCAAAAGGACTCCACAAATTCATCTCAGACAATCGTAAGAACCTAGCTGCCATTCGGGAAGAGATTCCTGTTGCACTGAAAGCTGCAACAAACCCAGCACACTTAGTTTTGGCCTCTCTGGAGGATTTCTATCCCATGGAAGTGTCAGCAGTTGCAAAGAGGGATGCAAACCTCTTGGGTCTCCGAAGAACCTGTATCATGTTGATGGAGTGTCTGAGCCAAATGTTAGCAGAAGATCCCAGTGCAGTTTCTGATGTAATTTCTGAACATGTTAAGGATAAAGCAAAGGTGATTGCCAAAGAGTGGAAGCCAAAGTTGGATGATCTTGATGTTGATGCTAGCAGTGGCAACTCCTTGGAGGCTCATGCATTCCTACAACTTCTGGCCACTTTTGGCATTTCATCGGGCTTCAATCAGGAAGAAATAACCAAGCTAATACCAACTGTTTCACGTCGTCGCCAAACAGCTGATCTGTGTCGCTCTCTTGGATTGACAGAAAAAATGCCAGGTTCGCCTTCTCTTATATCTGAAACCTTTTTATCCATGTTGGTGGGTATGCACATTTAATAGATTTTATTTCTTTTTTTTTTGGTATTTTTAATTTTCATCAGTCTCCACATCTTTAACAGTTTTATATATTCCCCCTATGTTTTTTAGGTTTTGCATTAATCAACCTCTTGCCTCTTCTGTCAAAAGCAACTTGAAACCGTTAGTTTAAATCATCTATAGCTGACTCTTCCTCTAGGAAACAAAAATTCTCATTGGTTTGATGGCAGCAGTGTGTGTAATCCTGGTCCCTCACACATTTGTAATTGGGGGGGTAACTCTGTAATGGGTTTGATTTTTTCTCACTTCTTGTTGTATTCTGTTTCCTTTTATTCTTAATAAATTTCTGATTTCTGTGTTTCTGATAAAAATCATGAAATAAGAAATTCATAAAGGTATAAATTATATTTGTTTTAATTTAGAAATCTGTGCCTTCATGTTTTTTCAATTCAAAATCCAAATGTTTCTGTTGCCTCATAATTTGAAATAATTATTTTAGGTTGCCTTTAATGGTAGGAGCATGGATGCTGCCAATCTGTAAAACATGGGGGGAATATACAGAATTGCCTTAACATGTGGGTGCAGATGCAATGCCCTTTTTTTTTGAGGGGGGGGGATGAATTAAACAAATCCTGTTGTAGCTTTGCTCAAATAATATACTAAACTTCATCAAATTATATATATATATATATATATATATGGTTCTGATCCTTTTGGATCTGTGAATTGGATACAAAAATCTTAGTCAATTTGTCTCTTTCATGTACACTTTACATTGGTGTTATCAGTGCTCAATGTTTATCACTGTGTAGGCAAGGTACCATCCAGCTGGTTGGTAAGGTCTCCTGCTGGTCGTAGTGGAGACTTGGGATCGAATCCCGCCTGTACCTGGGTTGGGGGATGGGCTACTCCGTTGTGTAGCCCTTCAAAAGATATCAAAAAATTTCATCACTATGTAGTGTGCTCCTTAGTCAATGTTTGAGGTTGTGGGGCTTGAGTTGCATTTTCTTTTAGTTCATTACTAGTATCTCATTGATTTGTTGCTTTTGCAAGAAGAAACAGAAAAGAAAAGAAAAAGAAAGAAGATGACCAGCCCTTTTCTGCCGCTCAACTTTAATAGTTCCATTTACATATTCTCAACCTTCTGTTCCTATATTTTCAGGTGTCATTGAAGTACTCATGAACAACAGTAGGTATATTGATGCTGTTAACTTGGCTTATGCATTTGACCTTACTGAACAATTTTCACCTGTGCACTTACTGAAAAGCTACTTAAAGGAGGCAAGAAAAGCTTCTTCACCAGTCAAACCTGGAAACACATCTCCAACTGCCCAGGTGTGATTTTCGTATTTCAAGATCTTATGATTAATGTTTAATTTTTTCCCTTCTCAAAGTGGTGACAAGGCACATGCATTAAACATACTTCTTTACTCATTTAACCTAGCCATCTTTTCTGTGGCAAAACATTAACTTGGTCTGAATGTCTCAACTATCAGTTTAGAAATACTTTTTTGATCATTAATGAAAAATATATTAAGAGATCAAACAATACAAGGAATACGAAGAGAATAAGCAAGACATCCCAAAACATCTGATCCGATTATTGATCAAACGCAAGTTCTAACATCCAAATCCGAGTTAATCAGATTTAAAGTTGAGTCAGGTATCGGACTTTGAAAGTCCATTGACAACCCTAATGGGGTTTGCTATGAGCCAAGTCAACCTCTAGAACATGGTTGCCATGGTAGAACACAAGTTTCTTTCCTGGACTGCATTTGAAGCTAGCATGGGTTGCTCACAAGGATTTGGAAGTTTAGGGTGATGGTCTGACTCTATCTTAAGGATTGGGAATGACACACATGGCACTATACTATCTGTTGTGGCTGAGACAAGTTGAGTCTTGGGGTCGTTGGGCTTGAGGACCGTGAAGATCACCGTGATGTAGAGAATGAAGATGGAGAGTGCGGGGAGGATCGCCTCCATTGTTGCTACATGACACCAACATTTATTCAGGAGGATCACCAAATTGGACATGTCAAATATTGACCTCAGATTGAGGAGTGTAGAGGAGATTAGAATTAGGGCTGTTTTCTTTTATAGTTAGTCACTGCATGAAATCATTTGATAGAGTATTGACATGGATATTGCATTTGGAGAGACAGAGTTTGGAGCATCAAACTATTGTCGGAAAAGGGTTGCAAATGAATTTATTATTTCCAAAACTCTCAAGAAGCAAAGATTTATCATATTTTTGATGGATCTATGTTTGCATCTGATTTGTTTATTTGATTTCTCAGGTATTGCTTTTGGTGGGACAACTTGAGAAGAAAGGAAATAGTAAGTTAATTGAAGGATAGGCTTGGTAAATGGAAGGTACTTTTCTGACTAAGCAGACATAAAAAGGTAGTATAGTCATTTTAATCTGTCTGTCTATTCAAACTAATGAAGGGGTCTCTTTGGATCATTATCCGAAATGTAAAGGGAGGTTTTGTGGAGGTTAAAACTATTGTCAAAACTACAGGGGAGGTTTTAAGTATTTTACCCTTAATGAAATGATGGAAACAAAGAAAAGTTTCAGAAGAATGGAGAAAGAGCATCTTGGTGCCTACATTTGAAGACGAAGGGGAGGTTAAAGCCGTTGTCAAAAGCTACAGGGGAGGTTTAAGTATTTTACCCTTAATAAAATGTTGAAAACAAAGAAGATTCCAGAACCATAAGAATGGAGAAAGAGCAAATGGTGCCTATGCCTGAAGGCAAAGGCAATATGCGATACAAAGTTGCAACAGTTATTGTGGGGTTAAACATATGAGCCTCATTATAATACTTTAGGAGAGAGAGATTGAGCAAAGGTTATGACATGAAACAAGTATCTCAAAAAAGCAAATTGGTTTTATGTTAGGTAGATCAACCATGGACGCTATCTTTTTTTAAGATGATTGATAGAAAAGGTTAGGGAGAGGAAGAGAGATATTCACTTAGTATTTATTAATTTGAAGAAAGCATACGATAGATTCATAAAAGAAGTATAGGATAGAATCCTTTGAAAGATAGTTATGGTGGGGTTTGGAAAAAAATGAGTACCAAATAGGTATTTGAACTTACCAATAAAAAATTTATGTGGACCTAATTAAAGACATATGTGAGGGTGGAAAAATCAATATTAGAACACTTGTGGGAGAGACATCGGAGTTTCAAGTTGCAATGGGGCTTCAGCATGAATCTTATTCTACCATTCTACTCTGTTCAATACCATATCCATTATCACATTATGGGCTGTCAAATTGTTTCACTGCCTGCAAACATGCCCTTTTGGCCTTCCCTCAACTCTTCTAGACCCTTTGAGTCGCAAGAGATTCTAGATGCACCCCTGCATTTTTGCCCATGCTGCTTTAATTCTATGAGCAACATCCTCATTAATCTCTCCCTTGTTGTGGCTATCAATATTGTGCAAGTAATCATAATCTCTTCTGATGCCTTTGCACCTCTTTTAACTTTCCCACAACAGCATCCAGAAAAAAAGGTTCCCCAACTCCTTTGCTTTTCTGAAGCCAGGAATGCCCCCAAGATAGTAAACGAGTTCATCATCACTGTCCACTAGATTAGGAGCAGAATAGTCCTTGGAGATCTGTTCATCTTCACTAGTCTCCACATCTGGGGATCTTTTATCAAACCATACTACGAGTCTGCCAAATTATCTGACAATATAGGGAAGTGTTGCTCCAACTCTTGAAATAAATTGCATGCACCCTCATCTCCAACTTGAAACAACCGAGTTCATCACCACTCTTGCAAGCTTAGTTTCACTTAGGTCCAACATTCAATGAGAACCCACTTTCTTTAACTCAGAAGATTATTCTTCTCTTTGGGTTGAGAGGAACTTTTTTTTTTTTTTTGATAAATTGGGTTGAGAGGAACATTGGGAGGGCTTAAATAGAGCTTTATCTGGACCTATGTTAGATTGCCCAATTATGTTGCATCAAGAGAAACTCAACCTATGTCCTTCTATTTAATTTGAAAACATGTTGTTAAATTGTCCTTTTAATAATAATGTTAGATTGGTAGGGAGAAGGGGACATGGAGGCAAGATGGCAAGGATATAGATTTTTTTAAGGCGCTACAATTCCTAAAAGCTAAAATTAGAATTTGGAATAAAAATGATTCTTGGAAGAGTGGAGAAAATAATAATGAAATTGTAGAGTTGAATAATAAGGAAGCTCAAGGACAAATGTTTGAAGAGGAAAGGAATCAAACTAAAGGAAGAGCTGGAAACACTCCTATGAGGGGAAGAGATGAGCAAGAGGCAAAAGTGGGGGATGCGGTTAGTGCAGAAATATGCAAGCTGCTATACAGGGTGCACAAATGCTAAAAGGTTGAACTTTGGGAGATTGATCATTGACGGTGACTCTAAAGTGGTAACTGGGTGGCTAAAAGAACCAGAGACAGCAGCTTGGTCTTTTAGGGGGAGAGATAAGGAGATTTAAGTGGCTTACTTCCAATCTCACTGTGAGAGTTCAGTGGGAAAGGAGTTCGGCAAAAGGGTTGGCAGACTTAGTAGCTAAGCAAGGGGTGAACAGGGATCACTTGTTCTGGGCTCAATTGTAATTGTAATTTTATTTTGATTTTCTGTGCTTTGGAAGGCAGCAACTCGTGCCTTCTGGGAGGACTCTGGATTGTATCCACTTGTCAGTTTACTTTATTTTCATTCTAATAAAATTATTCATGATTCATCAAAAAAAAAAAAAAAAGAAACGGGATGGTAACAGAAAGTTCTTTCAATACCTGGTAAACATGAGAAGGAAAAGAGCACAGTATCTAGACTAGTGATAGATGAGTAGGTTTTTACATAAGATGAGGAAACCTTGGTGGGTCACTTCAATTCTATCTTGCACATACTTCGAGGTAGAATGCTTGTTATTGGAAAGGCAAGTTATATACATACATACATACATACATAGTGGAGGTGTTCAATGAATTTCATGGGAGAGGAATTGTAAAATCATTATAAAGTCCTATCTTTGATTCTCAAGAAGCCCAATTTAAGTTTCTATTTTCTTCAAATGAAGTAGGGTAAGGAATAGGCAAAATTACCCAATTTCCTTCTTTCTTTCTGTTTTCTCCCTCTCACTTTGTTTTTCTTAAGGATTACTTTAATCACTACTAAAACATTGTAAATATGGCACTTATCAAGTTCATAAGTTATCAAGGTGCCTGCCTAGGCTTGCCAACAAGGCAGTGAATCAACTTCTCTTTACTTTTAGTGGTGTACACCCTATTATATGGCTCTATATGTGTCCTATCTATTTTTTGTCTTTCTGGTGTTATTTGTTACATGTGAGAAGTACAATTAGTACATAATTAGAAAAGAAAGGTATTTATTTTTTCTATTAACTTTCTTGCTCTTGGCTAGGCTCCATTTCTTTTGCTCTCTCTCTCATCACAACAACCTATAAAGCAGAGGCGTTGCTCCTTACTTTTCTTTTCATTTTCTGTGCTGCTGCTTTTCTATGTTTTTTCTTTAATGCTGAATTATTGCTGTTTAAAATTATTGTTTAATTTGTTAGGATATTGGTTATTCTCCATAGGCTCATTTTTTTAATTGTATTTTCAATAAAGTGAAAATAAATATCAACATGGAAATGGAAAGTATTCTGCATACTATAGGGCCTTTTTTTTATCAATAACCACAGATTTCATTAAAAATGGAATAAAGTTACAAAGAAAGGGAGCTAAAAATTCTTAGCTCCCAAAGGTATGGGAATACTATAGGGCCTTATTTGTCAAAATGCATCACGTAGGCAGTTGTTACTTAATCGTCCAGGCATAATCACCATCATAATTTATAATTAATTCTTAGCTACTTATTTCTTACTTGATTTCCTATTAAAATTGTTTCAGAATGAGGTGAATGAACGAGAGCTGGTTGCCCTCAAGGCCGTGATCAAGTGCATTGAAGACCACAAGCTTGAGGAGCAGTATCCAATGGACCCTCTTCAGAAAAGGGTAGTCCAGCTTGAGAAGGCAAAGGCTGACAAGAAGAGGGTGGCTGAAGCTGCAAAGCCTCAATCCAAAAGGCCCCGTGCTAATGGTGGGGGATATGGTCCCCGGATCACTAACATCCCTGATAAGAGCTTCTATACCAGAGCAGCTGATAGGTACCCACCTTACATGTATGAAAGGCCATATCTCTACCCTGGCCACACTGACAACCATGGTTCTTCACTCCTGGGTTCTGCCTATAGCCTCTCTCCTAGCCATGGAAACTACTTTGGGAATGGGTATCAGTACCAAGCCCCATATCTACATTAGTGAAGGTAAGAGTTGGTCCTCTATTTTAACTGGTAGTCTTAACCTTTTGGAGCTCTCTTAGTGTCGCTATGTATGAACAAACTCAAAGAAAATGAAAAAGGAAACAAGTTTTTTTTTTTTTCTTTGTATCTGAGTGTATAATCAGATCATTCTCCTAACATATGCAGTCCAGTTCTGATATTTACTTATACCGTGTTGTCTTTTTCGTTAAGTACTATGAAATTTGTACATCAAGTTCCATTTTCTATGATTTTATTGTCCAGTAATCACAAAAGAAAGAAAATTAACTTATTGAAGATTTGATGGTTTCGTTGGGTTAGTTCTATTTTGTCATATTGCGTAGGGCTGCAAATGGGAATTCAAATTTGACCTATCCGGTTCCAGCTAAAGGCCCATGGATGATGCAAATCATACTAAGTGTGCTAGTGGGGGCATCAAAAGAAAGATCTATCGTTTCAACATCCTCGTGGCATAAAGGATGTTGGATCAATATGAGCTGAACGTTTAGCCAACTCAGCACAAACCGGCAAGGCTTCTATTTCAAAACCTCCATAGAAACATTTGGTGCGAGGAATGAGTTATTTCATCTTCCATAAGTTCTTCCAAGTAAGATTTACACAAACTCAACTGGCATGCGATGGGTCAGATTCGTTTTGGTGTATAACTTGCATGGCAAGCGGAGTTTTCGAACTGTCGTTGACCTGGATGGTTGGACTGTTCATTCCGGAAACTGTCTGTTTCATCCGATCCTAGGTCAAATCCATTGACTTGGTCAGAGAATCGCTGACCCAGATGGTTGAACCATCAACCTGGACAGCGGTTCACAGGTACAGCAGAGAGAGAAAAACGATCTCAGATACAGCAGAGAGGAAGAGAACCCCCTCCCTCCTCTTTTTTTTTTTCTTTTCTCTCTTCCGTTCATTTCTTTCGTTCTTTTTTTCCTTTTTTCCTTTTTTCTTTCTTAACTGATTACTACAGCCTCTATTTTCTCATAAAAAAATTAAGTCTAAAAGACTAAGTACCAACATTTGCCCTAATAATCTACACCATCTGAACTGTTCGACTTAGATGGTCAAACCACTAACTGTAACTGGTGGCTACTGCGATTCCATTTCTGGGTCGTTTTTAAAACCTTAATTGCAAGTGTAACGACTAATGACCATAGGGAGTAAGTCATCTTCACAGTCCACACCACTCAGTCTTTTACAAATTGATCTGTTCTCGGGAGCCGAAGTTGTGTCTAGCGTGAATGACATGTTCTGGAAAATGGGGCTGCAAAAAGGAGAGATTTCAACAGTTGGATTGTCTATCGATGAGTATAGATACCTTATTGCATGGTAAAGACCAGTGGTTTATCCAAGAGAATCCCAGCCACCTAAGGCTCCATCATCGAAAATGTCAACCTTCCAACCCCATTAGAAATCAACCATTTACACCTCTTCAAGAGGTCATCCTAGCAAGTTAAGAGACTTGACCAAATGGGGGAGTCGGTTGGTCTATTCTTTTGACGCCAGTAAGTGGAATCTCTCAAATATTTAGTCTTCAAAACCTTCACCCAGAGAGCCATTTTCGTCAAGAGCGCTTTGTTCACCAAGTTAGGATCTTGAAACTAAGTCCCCCTATCTCCAATGGGCTTATAAAAGACCTCAAAGCCTTCAGATAAATTGATTTAAGGCTATGAGATCAGTTCAATCCAATAGAAGAGTGAACACAAAGGATGCCATGTGACAGAGTGGGAGTGAGCTGAGTGTGGACTTAATGAGTGTAGCTTTTCCTGCATGTGAGATTACACTAGATTTCCACCCCTTCAATTTTGACGTTACTCTGTCAATAATGAAATTCTAATTTCTATGAAGAGCACCTCCTATTAGCACCCAGTAATGGAACACCGAACACCCAAGTAGACATTATTCTTCTGCATTTCCTTACACATCCAGGCTATTCAGAATGATCTCTTTCAATTTGGGGGCAGTGTTCTTGCTGAAGTAAACAAATGATTTATCATAGTTAACTAGTTGGTTGGATCATTCATAGAACTTGTCCAAAATGGCTTTCATCTTTCGCACCTCCAGTATGGTAGCTTCACCCAAGATGAGTAAATCATCTGTGATGATGCGCAATCCGGTCGGTCCTAGCTGCCGGTTACCTTGCCTCTAACGAAGTTGGAGGTGCCTGAAACAAGGAAGAAAATGGAGACTTCCGGGGAGGAACCCAGTTGGAACACTCCGAAGCTCAAGTCAGTGCTCTAGAGAAGGCAAGGGGAAATGAGAGACTGAAAACCAGAAAGCACAAGAATCACATACCTCCTTCTTTGGGAGATGGGGGCCTTTTATAATCGCCCTGTACACTCACTCCCATACCTCTGCCAGATCGGGTGTCATCATTTCTGTCAGACGCCAGTTCGGGTGTCATAGCCTCTGCCAGTTGCCAGTTCGGGTGTCATAACCACCACTGTCCTTGTCAGGGCCGTCTCTGCTACGTCTGAGATGGCGGTGGCAGGTGGCCGTTGGGGGGCGGCTGTCATGTGTCGGACCTCTAATCAGTCAGGCGCGCCGCCTCCGTGTACGGGCTTCCTGGGCGTCAGGTACGGTTGTACAGCCAGGCGACTTGGAGCCGAAGTGGTGTGCGAGGTGAAGTCTTGAGTTCGGATAGAAGTGTGGCCTGAACTGCCCCAGGGTGGGTCAGCTCGGGTTTTTGCCCTTTGCGCTCCTTGTAAGGCTCAGGACCTCCAAGGGAGAGCTCGGGTTCTTCCTTGGAGAGTTCGGGTCACTGGTTCCTTTCTTGGGGAGCTTGGGACTCCCTTTCTCGGAGCTCGGGTTTGGGCCCGCTGCCATGCCGAGCTGGTGCTTCTGCAAGGTCACTCTCGGTTGCTTCCACGTGTCGCGTGGCCAAGGGGTCGGGCCAAATCTTCCTCCATCAATTGCCCCCCACTCCCCGTGCCCGGGGTCCTGAACCGGCGTGGGGAGTTCATGGGATGACGGGTGGATTTGCCTCATGACGCTTTGGCCTTGGTTTGGAGCTTCTTCGGTCTGACCTTCTTGTGTTTTCGGCCCAATCAGGACCGGCTTGGTTCGACCAGGGGTCAATACCGGGTTGCGTGTAGCTTACGCGTGGATGCCAAACGATTTCAAAATTTTGAACGTCAAAAATGCACGCCAAAACTGACTTCTCCTCGGGGGATGCGCAATCGGTTTCGCGGGGAGCCGTTGGATGGTTTTGATCTTGGTCGTTGATGCGCGAGTACAGTGGCTATAAATAGTGGGGGGGTCCCTGGTCACTTTTCTTCACCATTCTCCAGCATTCGTTTTTTGAGGTCGCGTCCAAGGCTGTCAGCTCGCGTCATCTTTCATAGTCCAGTAGCTTTTCCTGGTGAGTCCTCAGCCTTCTCTTTGTTTCGATGTCTAGCTCAGGTAGTTTAGATAGTCTCCTAGGGGGTCCGATGCTGGTTCTACGAGCCGAGTTGCTGCCCCGACAGCCTTAGCGAATCCGAGGCGGGGCCCAAGGTAGAGCTCGAGGAAGAGCTCGTAGGCCGAATCACCTTGGGTAGTTTGGCATCCACCTCCCGTCGAGGTCGGGTGCCGGATAAGTTCGGACCTTCCACTATGACGCCCGAGAGGCTTTGGTCCCTTATCGCCTAGTACAACCTGCCCGGGGAGTATACTTATATTTTACCCTCGGGCGACTTTCCTTGGGAGCACGGTCCAAACGAGATCGTGATATTCCAGAGCAGCTTGTTGCCGGGATGTGCCTTCCCTTCCATCCCCTTATCGTCGAGGTCATGAACCACTTCGGCATCACTGTGGGTCAGCTTCACCCAAACTTCATCCGCAACCTTGTCGGGACCATCTCCCTTTGCTGTGAACACTGCCTTCCCTTGGACCTGGAAATTTTTTCCGCTATTCTCATGCTTAAGAAACAAGCGGGTCCCCTACCTGGGCGTAGGAGGGCGTACTACTTGTCACCTCGTCCGAGCTTCAAGCTCTTACACGATCTCCCAAATAAGGTCCTGGCATGGAAGCGGGACTACTTCGTGGTTCGGAGTGCTACGGGGTGGCCGTTTCCTTCTAAGTGGGGGTTGGCCGTTCTTGACCCCAGTGTCGCATTAGACGAAGATACGATGAAGGGCCTCCAGAATTGGGCCCGACTTGACGGAGGACAAGCTTATTTAGGCCAGTCTGAATTCAGGCAGGTTTCTTGCTCAGACGGAGATACTTTTGCTTTTGTTTCTATTCTCGTCTTTTGATGTCGAGCTCCTTCTTGCAGGTGTTATGGAGGCAGAGAAGATTCGAGGTGCGAGTCAGTTCAATGGTATGAAAAGGAGGAAACGACAAGCTAAGCGGGTCCGCGCCGATCCTTCCCGGGTTGCGGAGCCCGAGGCACCGAGAATGGAGCCTTCTGGGGAGCCCGAGGTGCCCCCTCCAGTTCAGGAAGCGGCAGGGGTCCCCTATGCCGAAACAGCTTACACCCGAGCTGTGCCTTCAGGCTCGGGAAGTCAGGATGAGCTTGGGAGCATGCTGACGCCGAGCTACGCTCTCCGAAAAAGTAAGAAGGCTACTTGCCCGGAGGAGGTCGCGGCGTGGGCCGATCTTCCTATGAATCTCATAGGCGCTCGTGCTGCATCTCACGCCATGGTGGTAAGTCGAAGTAGTTTTTTTTTTTTTTTTACCGAGCTGATTTATTCTCGCTCTGGCAGGTGAACTCCTCTATCCACACTTTGGCAATCCAGGCGGAG